TATTGGTGGGGGTAAGGAGGTCGCAGAGGTAGGGTGGAGCAAAATCGGACTGGCTTAGTAAAGTGGAGTGCACATCCTTTCATGCACAGTATTTCATTACATTTGTACATTTGTATTAACCCTTTTAATACTCAGTCCTCATCCTAACCAAAGAGTTGCCCAGCGTTTATTTACCAGCAAGACATTAAATGCTTTAGCTGGGACTCGATTCCACAACTCGGCGGAAAGAAAATAAATTCTTCTAATCTCGTCTTTAAGAATTGTTAATTTTGTTCATGTTTCCTGCAGTTCTGGATTCAGAGTCTTAAATTAAATAACATGCCTACATCTAGGTTATTAATGTTAGACTAGACATGATTTAGCTTTTAAAATGACTAAGACTCTTCTGTAAGTCAAGGTCTAAGTCTTCCCAAAGGTTTAAGAATCCGAACTCTTGGAACGATTCCAATTTTATCTGAACTCCTTTCCCAAAACTTTGATGGCCTTTTGCATACATAGATCTCTGGAAGAACATAATGGGGGGAGATGCAATACAAAAGAACACAGAAAATAAAATTACAGAAAATAGAAATCAACACCTACTGATCCAGCTACTGATTTTTAACCCAGTTAGTTATGAGTCTGTTTTTTCAGTAGTACTTTTTTTTTAAAACTGCACACAATTTCTGTAAAAGAGCAGGAATTAAATGCACTCATTAAGTAGCATTGCCTTGTTTGAATTTTATGGCACTAATAAGATTAGAAAAGTAGGACACAAGCAAATATCACAGATGTTTAGAATAGGTTTGCTGTAGCAATATTATAATGAGGTTTGGGATTGTGCTGCTTACAATGATCAACTGCAGAATAGTTGTTTTTTCTGGCCAAGGATTCTCTCTCCTTCAGTTATTCATACTTTTCCTCACACCCAAGGCAGTCTCTGAGTGGAAACAAATTAGGAATAGGAATTTAGGACTAAATAATATCTCTCTATAGGCAGATAAGCAACATCACCCATGATACTTGATGTCTGAACAAGTGGATTGCATTGAGAGAGAGATAGAGTGTGTATCAGGTGATTTACGATAGAATTGGGGTACTGTAAACCTGGTTGTGCTGTTAGGAGACTCATCTGAGGGTCTTTTGTACTGCACTCACCATCTTGAGTACTAGATCACTCAGTGGAACCCACTTGGATACTGTCATTTGGAATAGTGCTGAGAATGGTATGCCAAGATGGACAGTTGGAGTATGGTTGCCAGAAAATCCTTTCAACGGCAAGCTATACGGCTTTAGATAATTAAGACTCCAGCAGTACCCCACTGCATATTCTGGGTTCCCCAAACCTTGACTCATGCCAACCTACACCTAGTAATACACCTGTCAACGTCTGGCGAAAGGACTTCTACCAAGCAGAAGCTGAACTCCAACTCTCTGACAACTCCTCCTACCTCCCCTTGGACCATGACCCTACAATGGAACACCAAGCCATCATCACTGAGACAGTCAATGACCTCATCTCCTCTGGGGAGCTTCCTCCCACAGCCTCCAACCTCATAGACCCCAGCCCTGTATAGCCCGCCTCTACCTCCTCCTCAAGATCCACAAACAGGACTGTCCCAGGAGACCTATTGTTTCAGCCTGTTCCTGCCCCACCAAATTGATCTCCTCATATCTGGACTCCATTTTGCTCCTTTTGTCCAGGCCCTACCAACCTACACCCATGACTCTTCTGACGCCCTCTGCCACTTCAGCAATTTCCAGTTCCTTAGTCCTAACCGTCTCCTATTACAATGGACGTTCAGTCCCTCTACACCTCCATCCCCCACAAGGACGGCCTGCAGGCCCTCCGCTTCCACCTCAAACAGGGGCCCATCCAGTCTCTATCCATCACCACCCTCCTCCGCCTGGATAAACTTGTTCTGACATTGAACAACTTCACATTAAATTCCATCCACTTCCTCCAAGTAAAAGATGTCGCTATGGGAATCCACATGGTTCCTGTAGCTCAGTGGTTAGAGCACTTGCTTTGCAAGCGAAAGACCTAGGCTCGATTCCCGGCAGGGTGAAACCTTGGGCAAGTTTCCTTACTCCACACACCTGATAATAATCCTTCAAGAAAAATAAATAATGAATTGGTCATTTCAATCCACGCCTGTTTGTGGGACACGGCTGGGTGCAATTGGCTGCCACATTTCACCCACAAATATACATTCAATTCACTTTACAGTCTATTCCGTCAAGTGCTTTGAGACGTCTCGAAGACGTGAAAAGCGCTATATCAAATGCAAGGATTATTATTATTATGGGTCGCAGCTACACCTGCGTGTTTGTTGGCCACCTGGAACACTCTTTGTTCCGGGCCTACTCAGGTCCACTCTCTGACCTGTTCCTCAGATACATTGATGACTGTGTTGGGGTTGTTTCCTGCTCTCGCAGCGAGCTGGAAAAATTCACCAATTTTGCTTCCACCTTCCACCCTTCCATAACATTCACACGGTCCAACTCCGACTCTTCCCTTCCGCAACTTCACCATTTCCATCTCAGGGTATAGATTATCTACAGATATCTTTTACAAGCCCACCAACTCCCACAGTTACTTGAACTGCACCTCCTCCCACCCCGTCAGCCAACATCCAACAAATAATTCTCCACCATTTCCAGCACCTCTAGCGTGATCCAACGACCAAACATATCTTTCCCTCCCCTCTCAGCATTGTGAAGGGACTTTTCTCTCCATGATATCCTGGTTCATTCCTCCATCACCACCAACAGTTGCTCTCCTCCCGCTGACACCTTCCCATGCCAGCGCAAGAGATACAATACCTGCCCTTTCACCTCCTCCCATACCACTGTCCAGGGCCCCAAACACAGTTTAAGTGAGACAGTGATTTACGTGTACTGCCACCCGTGTAGTTTACTGTGTTCGCTGCTCACGATGTGATCTCCTCTACACTGGGGAGACCAAACGCAGATTGGGCGACCTATTTGCTGAACATCTCCGTTCTGTCTGCAATCACAACCCTTAGCTTCTGGTTTCTTGCCACTTCAACTCTCCCTCCCACTCGCACTCTAACCTCTCCATCCATGGTCTCCTACACTGTTCCAATGAACCACAGCACAAGCTCTCTGGCCTCAATATTGATTTAAAAAATTTCAGACCATGACAGCTCACATATCCCCCTCCCGCTCTTCTGTGACCATTACCACATCATCTGGGAACCAGTTATACCTTTTCTCTCTCTGGTCTGCCCATTTTGATGCAATTCCCCCCTCTTTTGTTTGCATTATTAACCCTTTGTTTGCCCTGTTTTGAAACAACCCCCCCTTTGTTTTGCATCATTAACACCTCTATAACCCATAATCCCCTGTCCTCTGCCCCATTTTCTCCCTATAAACTGCCAACAAACATTATCACATACTGAGAGAACACATTCATGACCTCACAAAACAATATGGGGAATGAAGTCTACAATGCATTCCTGCAAAATAACACTGCCTTATGTGGTGATGCTCAGTATTGCTTTCAAATCACTGATTCTATTGAGCTAATGGGGTTTGTTGCTATGTTGTAGAGTGGGGGGAAAAGGAAAGGAAATCGTACCCGAGCACTTTGCCACATCCACACAGCAAGGTCACTGGACAGCAATGAGAAGCAAGAACCTAAAGTGACTTTTCTCTTCCTTATCTATGGCACCAATTTAAACGTTAAAAAAAAGGAACTCATTGTGGAACAGAGCTGGATCCAAAATGATGCGCTTCTCACCAGTGTTGGAATTAAATCAATCCTCTATACACTCTCTTTGTTTTGGTCAGCTAGGCGTCCGATGTGGAAACTCACCACAATGCCTAAGAGTAGCCAAATCAGACCTATACACGGAAAGTCCCGTCTGACAAGCTTCCTGCTGCTTATCCACAAGCCCTTTACAGCAGCAAGCCAAGCCTTCAGCCACCACAACATCTTCCTCAAACTCTTCCAAACCCACATCACCTCTCTTTCTCTCTCCTTTCCAGGAAAGGTCTTTTAACACCTTTATATTTTTCATTTCCTTTTTCGGTCTTCGTAAGTTGAATTTATCAAACGCTTTGAGACTTTCCTTTACATAAAAGGGGCTTTAAAAGTGGACGCTGCAGAGCCTCCTATTAAACATAGGTACTGATGCGAAGATTACAATACACACACTCTTCACCTGCTGAATTATGTCGGCCTTCAGTGCGTCACTAGGCTCTGGTTAGAATGACTAGCTTGATGCACTGTAACAGACAAGTGATAAACTGTGGGTCTTTATCTGGGATTTCCAATAGACCCTGAATAAACCAGGGACTGAGAGAGACTGATTATCTATGCTGAGACTCAGCTGTTCAGTCAGGGAGGAGAAAAAAGTCACGCCACAAAGAAACCAAGCAGAATTATTTACAGGCTGCTGCGGTTTTATTCATGGGCAAAAGAGCATCACTGCAAAATGCACAGCTGTTCTACAAATATCCACAGATAAGATCAGCTCTAGCCTTGCCTTTAAATGAAGGCCAGCAACTGGATGGTACAGTACAGGATGGTCCTGCCCAGTACAGAAATAGACACAGGAAATCAAGTTTTGGAGATCCGGTTTCCATTGAGCTCAAATGTAAATGACCTTGTAACTCCCTAATGCGGTACTCCTCTCTCTCCCCTTCCCCCAATGCAATTTGTATTTTTCCCTTCCCGGTCAAGATCATGAAGCACAAGAGAAAATGTAATTCTTTCCACTTGTTTTCCTAAGGGTTTTCAGGCCACACTATTATAGATTGAAGATTGTTTTTGCAACCTCTAAACATTTCCTCGCTCTCTCATCATCTTGCCATTTCTTTTGCATTTGTTTTTCTTGTTGCTAGACTACTGCAACACAGTAGTGCCGGCTGGGTTGAGGTTCGAGCCTTCTTCGCCCCGCACCCCCACACCAATCAATCCAGTGTCTGTGTTTCCCTGTGGCCAGGTCTGAATGTCACTAACTATTGTGCAGTAATATTGTTTAAAAGCTTACCTTCCTGTGCGAGAGGTGGTAGTCCTACCTAAAGAGTCAGTAGCTTGCTCTTCAGAACGGAAGTGAACTTTCTCAGGCACTGCATATCTGAAAATTGTACAGAGATTTTTCTATTAGTTCTTCATGTTCTCTCTGATTAATTGGAGCTCTGTAGATGCTTTCATAAACTCCTTCCCTTCCAAACTGCTGCTCTGACCAATAAAACACACAAAACAAGACTTTCAATCCCTCTTCCTTGGGGAAACAAGTGTGCAAGTCAATGTAACAGTTATAACACTTCAAAGCAATGCATTGCGTGACAGGTTAGGAAACATTTTCATATGGCAGGACTTTCACTCAAATATAAAGGCTGATTTATTATTAAATGATCCTACATTTAATCCTAAATCTTGGTAACAAATTTTCTGGAATAATTAGCAGGGTATTTTCATTACGTTATATTTCCCTGAATAAATTAAAAAAACTTTAAAATTAAAAATCCTAAGGAAGGTCCTGAAACAAACGTTCCAAAACTAACTTTGTAATAAGGGTTCCATTCTGCCCCCGAAAGTACAGCCTGTACTTGGTGCAGTAATAACCACCATCATTTGCATTTGAAGAATTCATTAATGAAACAACTTCTCCCAAAGTATCCAATATATAACGCAATGCAGGAATTTGATCCAAGGATATTTATTTAGCAAGACACAGAGGAAGGAAGAGAGATGCAAACAAATATTGTGCGAATGTAATTGAACATTGTTTCCTTGCACGTTTATATTGCAGGTGTGGAAATATCATTTTCAGCAGACTCGTCTCTCAATAACCCCAAGCTGCCAGTACTATGGAATTCCCTCCATCATTGGCAACAGGCAAACAAATGTACAGGCTGTACTACATTTGCCTTTCATCATTCACGAAGTCCAAGGCAGTTGTATACAGGTTAAGAGGAATAAATGAAATCACAAATGGTGCATCCTGAGTATTTATTAATACCATGACTTGCATTTGATTCAGCACCTAACGGAGAAAGGCACAAAGCACTTTCAATGTTAATGTATATACTGTAAATGGAGTGACCTTATTTGTAAACAAATGCACCGCCAAATTGCACAATCAGTAATATCCTACAAACAGCCATGAACTGAATTAGCATTTTTATCTGGAGATTTATTGGTCAGGACAATTAGTGCCACAGGATCTCTAACATCCACCTAAACATACAAACCCCTGTTCAACATTACATCTGAATATCTGTATCTCTGAATGCAGTACTTTACAACAACAACAAAAATACATTTGTATAGCACTTTTCACGTCGGGAGGACGTCTCGAGGCACTGGACAATCATTTACAATGTCATTCCCTCCTCTCAAAGTACAGGATGTTAGGGCCAATGCATCGTCTCCTTCCTTCTGTGCTGTAAACATTCTGTGATTCTATCAGAATCAACGTGCAAGCCAAAGGTCAGCCAAAGGTGTATCCAGGAGCTACTGAATCACCCAACACGCAGTTGTGCACTCGCTGCCAGATTAACCCGCTCTTGTGTTTGAACAAGTCCCAGGTGGCAAGCACAAAGCAGAGGCAACATGCTGTAATAACTAGCTTCTTGTTGTACAGACCGAGTTGGAAGAAGCACATACGCAACGAGAACCAGCTTCATCAGCCCCTTCGATTCGGATCCTCTTTCGCGTTGCTGCAAAATAGCAACACATCAAATAAATTGTGTCTTATCTTTAACAGCTCTATCACTGTGCATTACACCCACTCCGTAAAATCTCCGGCAGCCACAGAGAAAGAAACATGACAGGAACTGTCTCCAGAAACATACACTTTCAGCACAGAAGAAGTGCTAATCAGCTCATCTTGTTCTGTATCACAACAGAATTGGGTTCCCGTACGACACGCCAGCCCGGCCAACCCTTCTCTCTTGTTTTCCTCTTTCTTGCCCCACTCCAACATTTAAGATTATAGTATCTTATCAACACCCACATTCAATAATGGCCCTTCATTGAATGGTTGGTGTCTGTGCAGTAACATTCTACTTTGCAATACAACAAAGCAGCACTGCATTGAGAGTGTTGAACTTATGAATTGGACTAGAGAAAGGTCTCTTATCTCAAAATGAAAGTCACTGTGGGTGGCAAAAGGACTTCTCTTTCTGCCTCTAATAGATAAGTTACTGAAGTTGGAGAAGGAAGGAAGGAAGGGGACCGATACGAAACATTTGAGAATTATTTTTAAAGACAGATGTTGAACTTGCAGTGCAGTTCCTAGAGAAAGCAGCACAAACCAAGTGCACTCTCCATCACCAAGACCCTCAGCAACACAATACCTAATTATACAGCCAATTCCTCACGCAAAACATTACATCACAGAGACTAAAAGCCAAGAAAACAGGTCATTTCTCAAAAAAGATCAAAGTGAAAGATAGAGAAAAGGACAGTATAGCACACATTCAATTCAGGATTCATGAAATTTCCATTGAAATCTGCTTTGCAGACAGTAATAGGTACACCATGTCTGCCTAGTGTTAAGGGCACAAAACATTGTAACTGGGAGAGTTCGACATTATGCTGAAATGCCCAAAATCCTATTGTGCAGTAGCAAATAATTAGACTTCAGTCCCTGCAGCTGAAGAACAAGGGAATTGATGACCTAGTAATATTATTAAAGAGGGAATAGATAGCTGCAGTGCGCGGTTACTTCTGGTGATGAGTTACAATCCCAACTAGCTTTCTGTTTCAATGGCATTCTTGGGGAATTGTTGTGCAGAGCGATTCTCAGGGAATCTTTGCGTGGAGTGATGGAACACAACAGGTGCAAATGGCAAAATAAACACGCACAATTCAATCCATGTACAGTAACTAACATTCCCAAGTGTACCTTGCTAAAAACCATCTCCTTTTTACATTTTATAAACAGATAATTTGCAGTGTGTATTCCATTTGATCTCAAGCCTCACAACTAACAGCTTACATTAACTTTTGTTCTTTGAAAAAGCAACTGATCACGTGAAAACAATTCTGGAACAGTGCGGTTTAGTTGAGACAAAGCAGTTTAGTTGAACCAAGAGGCTTGTGTAGACTTGGTTATATTCCCTCTAACTGAGGACATTAAGGAGTAACCCGATTCATATTTTGAAAACAATAGATAACAACACAACCACATTTGTATAGCACCTTTCACGTCGGGAGGATGTCCCAAGGCGTTGGACAGTCAGTGTTTCGGACCCGAGCTGGGGGTCGGGATTTGGGAGAGTGGAGGGGCGGGAAGAGGGTGATCGAAAACACAGTCGAAGAGGAGGGTCTTGAGATGCGTTTTGAAGGAGGCAAGGGAGAGGGTGAAGCAGAGGGACTGTGGGATAGAGTTCCAGAGGGTAGGGGCAGAGTGGCTGAAGGCCTACCTGTCAACTGTGGGGCGGGAAAGGCGGGGAACATGGAGCGGACAGGATGGTAGGGCGGTAAGAGGTCGCAGAGGAAGGGGGGAGTGAGGCCATGGCTATCTGTCAGGACAGCAGTGGTCTGGGAGTCAAGGGTGGAAGCAGAGAGATACAGTTGGGTGTCACCACGGTGATAGTTCATTTTGGAAGAGGGATCTAAAATAAGGGACACAGTTAGGGTGGCTAGAAGTGAGATCAGAAGATATTTTGTGACACTGAAGGTTACATAAGAACAACTAGATGAAAAAAGACCTAGGTCCATCTAATTCGCCTTCTTGGCGGTTGCATGCACATATGTTCCGAACCACCTAAAGAAGAACCTAACAACAACAACTTGGATTTATATAGCGCCCTCCACTCCAGACGGCGTCTCAGAGCAATGTTAGAGGGTTAGCTAGAGGGTTAGTTACGAGATTGTGGCATGCATTGGCCCAGATGTGGAATCAATTGGAATGTTTAAAAGGAAGAGAAATACTTATGAAATAAAGAAAGATAAGGAAATCAGATGAGAAGATCTGCCATTTTTGAATAAAATGGTAGAAAAGTTACAGATAGAAATGCTACTTAGGTGCCCAGTGAAACACTGCAAAGTCCCCCTCTGTACAATATAAATTTAATGTGCATCATACACTGGGTAATGATGGATTGGGAGGTGGGCTGGAATATCTTCAGAAAAATGATCAATATTTTAGTTCCAAATAAGAATGTAACAAAACAGCACTCCTCATGCAGGATAATGTGTCCGAGCGCTTCACAAATCCAGAGTCAAACACCAAACAAGGAAGAAGAAAGGTTAGATGACCATATACTTGGTTAAAGAGGTAGGTTTTGAGGGGAGGGAGGAATTAAAGACAGATCAAGAGGCAGGGCGCTCCAGAGGTTAGGGGGCATTATAGCTGAAGACTCTGGCACTGATGGTGGCATAGAGGGGGCACACAGCAAGTCCGAGTTAGTACTCCACTCTTGACTAAGCTTGGCTAAGACCAATGCAAACCTTAGCATGGCATTTGCCATCAGATGCCGAGTTACATCAGCTCTCAGCTTATGTCATTGGTTCATTCTTAAATTTCGCTCGTCATTTCTATGTAAAAAATCCACGCAGAGTTTCAATACCCTGTGATGTTCCTGTCACTCTAGGTTATCAACCAGTCAGATGGCAAGTTTGTTCATGCCTGTGCAACAGCAATGATTGAAAGGTAGAACATTGCACCAAGCAAAAAGAAGAAAGAACTTGTATTTTTATCACTCCTTATCCTGTCAAGGTCTCAAAGTGCTTCACAGATAATTACTGTTAAGTGCAGTTACAAACGTGGCAGCCATTTATGCACAGCAAGGTCCCACAAGAGTTCTGAGGTGAATAATCAAGTAATGTGGAAAATTATTGACCAGACTCAGAGACAAATTTTTTGGAGCAGAGCCACGGGACCTATAATGTTCACCTGAAATGGCAGACTAGATCTAGCGAAGACAGCAACAATGCAGCACTCACTCAGTATTGCACAAGAGGATCAGCCTGGACCCTGTCAACATGGAGGTTAAACCTACACAGAGGCAGAGTGACACCAATGAATAGAAGAGGAAGTCGCTGAGCAGATCAGCCTGGGTCCGGACTTGGCTTGAACGCCCTAAAATGGGTACGGGGCAGTTGTTGGTACT